CCTTTTCTAAAACTCCAAGCAACAAAATAAATAACAACATGCTATATGATTTGTGTGATTATGATCTGGTAGGAAACAAGGAAAGAAGGAAAACTCTTTAATTTTAAGCTTCACATAATCAGAGAAAACTTTGATCACTTTAACATTTTCATGAATTGACTAGGATGCATCTGACAGAAATGACCCACTGAACGGTTTGCACAAGCTGTCAGGGCAGGACACAGTTAAAAAATGATCATGGTTTTGGGGAACAAAGCCTGTGTTTAAAAGCACACCTGCTGCACATCGTGTGCTGGGACTATTTGTGGCTACATTTATGAGTTCTGTTGGGAGTTATTTTTGCCATCTGTGCGAGCGGCATGTTTCCCCCTGACACTGATCACTCAATTTTGAGCCTATTTCTGTGTGGTAAAAATCACACCTGACCTCTTACACCTGGTTAAAGCAGACTTCTGATGGTGTTGACATCTTGACAGCAGCAATATCTAAAAACATGTTAGACACTGTGATAAGACAAACAAGTAAGAGAAGTTTGCAAAAAATACACTGATTTATTCCATCTCTAAGACCTTATATGATAAATTTGGACAGCTAACACTGTGGATAGATTTTTGCCTATTCTTAGAGTGAGTGCTCACTACATTGTGTCATGGATAAAGTTTAAGCTTTGAGTTTAATCAGAGTTTTAGCAGGAAAACAACATGGAAGGGAACAAGCATTTGCTGACCTTTCACCCAAGAGCCTATTACAGATTGCCATAAAGTCCCACTGACCCCTCTTTAAAGGAAGGTCGGCGCAGAATGTCTCTACTGGGGATTCTGGGAGAATTCAAAGCGGGCCACCCAGACCTGAATGCACAATAAAGTGATGAATTCTGCATATCCAAATGCATTAAATACCCATTTCTTATGCTGGACCAGATAAAAAGTATGTAACCCACTAAAGTAGTCATCTAGAGCCCTTCTACTGTTTGATAATCTATTGTTGTCTTCTAATATATTACTTATATTCATCTTTGTCTTGTATAGGACTGAACTCTACAGGATATGTCCTTTATTTTATTGCAAAAGCAGACGGAAGTTGTTTTTTCTGAGTGCCAGGTGTCCAAGCTTTTCTGTGCAACCTGTTATTACATGCGGCACCATCAACAGACAATGAAGAGTTGAAATCCTGCATTGTTGCCGTCATGTTTTGATGGCCGGATTCTCCAGTAGTCCTTGAGTACCTCAAGGAAATTGCCTGGAAAAAATATATATATGTCAAAGATTTTTGTATCAAATGGCATCCGTTTTTTTTTTTTGTTTTTTCCTTTTGCAGATGACAACCAATCGATCATATGACCTCCACTTCCTCTGTTCCCTTTCATCACAATATTTGTCTTTTTTTTTTTTTAGACTCTCTCTGGAAGGGCTCTTTAATCTGCTAGACTCCATCGAAGGGCGACTCCACAACGAACAGAATCACGTGTACCAAGATTCTTCAATAGATGGAAGGCAACTCAATAGGATTATCAGGTACATCCCTCCTGTCTTTCTTCAAACTTTGCAATCTTATCTCTCCCTGTCTAAACGGGAGGCCATTTAAATTTATTTAATAGCTGTGGAGCAGTTTGTGTAGATGAGAAAAACATATTATCCTTCTGCTGAGGGCTCTCACATTAGATGAAGTGTCATCACCAACAGGCGCGCGTCTTTATTTCTGAGGGGTTTTTCAAACGCATGGGATTGTTATAGTAACCACCCCGGCTCAGTTGTTATTGGGAGTCAAAGAGATAGAGGACAGCGAATGTATTTCATTAGAAAGAGCTTCTTTTTCATAAGCTTTTTATATTTCGTTGCATGAATCATTTACCATAATTGCTGCTTGCTGTCGTAAAGCATAAAAGAATAAATGTACCAGAAGACGGCTGTCTAACTACATACTGTGTACTTATCTCTGTCTGTTGTGTGACCGTCGGGTGTCATGACCCTCGTAACGTTCATTCGGATTGATATTTATGTTTACGTTCGTTTAGGATGTTTGTTTGTCTTCAATTTGTTCTTTGCAACACTGACCGGGCGCTCACCTCAGGGCGCCGTGGCAATAGCTGACCACTTTCTATATATCGGGCAGACTTTGTGAGGATGGAGCGGGCTTGGATGATGAGGACCTTGAAGCGTGTGGCGCTGTCGTCCTTCATGAGCTCCGGAGGTTGTCATGGAGCATGGAAAAGGGCTGCGTGCTACCAGGGGAGCTGGTGAAAGCGTATCATTCCAGCCCTCAGTCTAATGAAATAAGGTCAGCTTATTTTTTATTATTGCAGGAACTCAAAGGCAAAAATTGACATAGATCTTTCTGTGTTTTACATTGTTTTGTTGTTTGTTTGTTATTACGTTTTTGTAATGTTGAGTGTTATTGTTTAAACTAGGGCTGCAATTAACGATTATTTTATAAATCAAATAATCTGTCAATTATTTTGTTGATTAATCAATTAATAATTGGATAGCCAAAGGTTGCTTGAAGATTTTTAACGAAACCAGGTAACTTGAGGAGTTCTGGATAGAGCATACTAATGGATGAAAATGTTTTGTTTTTTACCTTAAATGCCTTAAATTTTTACAATTTTGATATAATTAATGCTGTAAATGGGTCTGTGAGCTAAAGGCATATTTTACAGTCTCTATACTCCAGTTAACAATGAATCGATTACTTAATTAGTTGTTGATTATTTCAGTAATCAATTAATCACAATTAATCCGATTAATTATTTCAGCCTCAGGCTAAACCATGCATGTTTCAAAGTTCACAATTCTTAAAACTTTAAGTGTGTTTTAAAACCTAGAAAAGACAAAAACAGCTATGAATATTGCTCTAGCGGCTGGAGTTCAACAGAGTTCTTTATGTAAAGTATGGACTCACTGCAGAGGTGAAATACCCTGCACAGACTCAATGTATACTGTATGTTCTTTTTACTTTTATTTTATTTCTACGGACAGCGGTTTCTGAGATATCGCATACCACAGTTTGATTGGTCTGCCTTGTCCACAAACGTGAAAGGTCATCTTTGGTGTCCCCCGTGCGGCACGGTGAATGTCATGAGTAAATTAAAATGCCCTATCTGCGACTTCCAGTCCTTTTGGATAATGTGTGGTTATACTGTGAGCCAAATCTTAGTTCTGCTTCACTAGCCTATTGATTTCACCAAGACCTTTCCTATTATATACTCGATTCTAAGAGACACATCCAGCAGTTTCGCTCTCTGGAGATGCCAATTGGTTGACCTCAACCTATTATCCTGTTTTTTAGCCTAAGGTCATATCAGTATCTGTGTGTGTTCGGTGTTAACTGGAAATTAATCAATAATCCGAAGCTCTGACATTGTTTAAAGATGGAACAGAGAAGATCCTTTTAAGAAAATACCTCAACTAACATGAATCTATTCAGTATAATACATTTTGTTTCAGGCAAGCTTTCTCACATTTCTGGCAATTTTTTTCTGGTTTGATTATATGTTTTTTCCTCTGAAGAAAGCATCTTTTTTAGTCTGTTTTCTATGCTGCCTTACCCCATCCGCAGCACCAGCCTCCCTCCCAATGCTGCTCAGCTGTGGGATCGCTGGTTCAAGCACGCCCTTGTGCTCAAGGAGAGCCGTGTCCTCAACACAGAGCGCTTGGTCCAGCTGTTCACGCCGCTTCTGCTGGAGCGTGATGCCGACTACAGCCAGCAGGTAGCGTCAAAGACACATAAGCTCTCATGGGGGGAATAAACAGTCACATCAAAACACATTCAACCATCTATAAATGTCTGAGGTTTGTTTTTGTTCTTCTGTTTCTTATGTCTTTCCTTTTTGTGCTCAAGATTCTCTAATAGGGAGCCTACTTCATTCATCAGGAATAAGAAATAAATCTCCTGTGGTTAATCAGAAAACACTTACCTTTCTTGTGGATTAGCCATTAGCTAAATCAGTTTTAAATTTTACCTCTTTAAAAAAACGTTTTCATGCAGTTTTTTAAAACTCATAACACATTCCCCTTGTCGCCAGCTTACCATATTTGTTAGACTTTTTTTCACTTTCTCACATTAAAACCACATGTTTTATTGTATTATAATAGGGATTTATTCGGTAGACTAATATAAAGTAGTTTAGGATTGTAAAAAGGCAACAAAATTGCCACCTTTAAAAAAAGGGGTTACAGCTTGGTCTCATCAGAGCTCTCCTTGCATGTGTTTGCCCTGTAAATGTGAAAATGTGTATGGGGTGTGAATACTTTCACAGACATCCAGTCAGGAGACGGCTCATATTATTGGGATTATTGTGGCTGTGCTACATACTGCTGTACCTCCACCTCAATGACAGAGGCAAAGAGGGAGGCTGTAGAGCCTCTTCAAAATATGAACTGACAAAAGAAAGAGGGGTACCACCATCTACATCATTGTATCCAAGTGCATCAGAAAGAGGCGGAGTGAAATCTTTCTCTTCTTTTATCACTTTGAGTCTCGCTCCATCTATTTCTCCCTCCTATCCCCCACTCCGCCATATCCCCCTTTATGTCCCTCTGTCCTCTCGCTCTCACCCTGTGCACATGGGCTCAGACAGACATTTCCATTCACATCCTGCCACGCCGCCTGGCTACTCCAACAAATGGGAGCATGCAGCTCGCATGCACACACTTAAAGCGGCCCTTTGAATATTCAAGTGCTAACAGTTGTATTCATTGATATTTAAAATGCAGCAGAACCCCTTGCTCATGGTACATTTGACCAAATCATTAAAAAAGGGGATTTTAGGGATAAGGATCAAGATGTTTTTTTTTTTTTTTTTTCTTTTTTGCAGTAGCATCAAATCTTGAGCGGGAAAGTCAGATCAGCATGTGTTTGCATCTTTTCCTCCACTCAAAAAATGAAAGCTTGTGCCTCGTTGATCTTCCCTGTGACCTACTGATAACAGCTCACAATGCACTCAAATGTTTGTCGCTGTCAAAATCCTCCTGATCATCGCTTTCATATTTAGCGTTCATTAAAAGTTCTGAATGGCCGTCCAAGGCTGAGAGACTGCCTTTGATCACAAAAGAGAGATGATGATGGCAGGATTTGATTTGGGTGAAGAGAAAGAAAATCTGCAGTGGCATCTCCCAGAACAGCCTCTCTTAATTGTGTATCCTCATCGCCACAGAGATAAAAATGAGCTGAAGAGGCGGGAAAAGAGTAGTCGGTCTCTATCCTCTCAGCCAAGAGGAAAGATATCTGAAACGTGTTGCACATTAACGGCAGGGTGATTGCATTCTTTAGAAAACTCTCTAATCTCATGGATGAGAAGAGAGGGAGTGAGAAAAAGCTAAAGTGGATGAAGAGAACAGCAGCATGAGAAGTCATTTTTTTTTTGTTTCGTTTTTTTTTAAAGCAATTTAGGAGGTTTGAGGTTATTGGATGTTGGTGTAGGAACACACATTACAGCCGGTGCTCGGCGTGATTCAGCCATGGCCAAAGTTCAATTTGACGCTTCCTTCACAAAATGAGAACAATTAAGAAGGTGGTTTTAATTTGTTCTGTGCGCAGGCCAAAGTGTTGCTGAGGGCACTTCTCTCCCGGTCCAGTGAGGAGGGCCCCTCAGCAGAGGATGAGAGTGACTCTTCTTCTTTGTGCAATAATTCTTCTGCCTTAGCGGACGCAGATGTGAAGCCTTCCTGCTCTGTACACACACAACACATCGAAGGTAACTGCAGATGTTTACATTGTGTATTATGCTTACAGGAATATCTCCTATAATATTGGATACAAAATGTGGATTTTGGTCACATTTAGTCAGTTCTACAGTCTCCTTGCAGCAGAGGCTCAAACTTGACATATGACAAGCTAAAATGATATACGGCACAAAGTGTGCTAGCAAACACAGATGTGTAAGAATGAAGACAATTGTGCATATATCACAACTATTACCATTTTTTACATTCTCTACCAATATTTTTGCCATTGCAAAGTTTCCTAATGTCATGAAGCACTAATATTAACATACTTTGTAGGATCTTTATTTTTTCTGTCATTCAGCACTATTCAATTCAATTTAATTATATTTATTTATATAGGACCAAAATTTACAACACATGTCAAATCAAGGCACCTTACAGAGACAATTTAACCAGATCATACAGTCGGATTGGTTCAAATTTTTCTATTTAAGGAAAACCAGCTGACTGCATTGGCTCATTGACTCAAAACCAATCCCTTACACCAGGCATGCTTGTAGTGACAGTGGAGAGGAAAAGTCAATTTTTAACAGGTAGAAATCTCTAGCAGGAAAACACTGATAAACAGGCCAGCTGAGATTTCTCTCCAGGATGGGTCACAGTCAAACAGCAACAGACCAGATGAAGCTACTATGATGAGAAAAAGCAGAGAGTTAGAGGGAGAGAGAGTATAGTGGTTGGAATAACAAAAACTGCAGAATGGGAGAATAGAGATAGAATGAAGCAGAATGATGATTGTCCTCCAGCAATCTAAGCCTATAGCAGCATAACTATAGAGATATCTTTATCAGGATAACCTGAAGCACTCTAACTATATGCTATAAGTTTTAAGCCTTGCTGTAAAAGTAGACAGGGTGTCTGTCTATTTAACAGGAAGCCAATGATGATCATTATCGTATCGGTAGCTTCTCATACCTCTGTGCTTCCCTGACTTCAGTGACACTGATATAAGCTACCTTTAAATCCTTTTAGTAACAGCATCCACACTAAAGTTTGTTATTGTTAGCTTGGCATGGGAGCGCTGATGAAAAAAACCCTTTCATTAGAAAAGGGAGATTTTTTTTCTTTTAGATTCTGACCAACCAGCTACCAGTCAGAACCAAACATGCAGGAAATTGGTTAGATCTGGTTCCACTGGTTCCAGTTTATATAACTGCTCTTAATTGTTTTGTGTTGCTTTTGATTATGTTTTCTGCAGAAAAAAAAAAATCTTTTTATGAAAAAAACTGTTTACATAGAACATGTTTTATATACTCTGACAGTTATAGTCTTTAATTCAGACATGAGAAAGGAACCCCCTTTTTTGATACCTGTCCAAGACTCCCTTCCTCCTTGGCGTTGCTTCTCAGTGTGTGCTTTCCTTTCTTTCAGAACTACAAAGCACTAAAGAGGACAGCCAGGACGAAAGCCCGGTGGAAAGTGGTCCTATTAGAGGTAAAAAGGCATTGCTGGTGCCTCAGCATTCACACTGTCCTTATGTTGTGTTTTGTTTTCTTCCTACTGCAGTGAATAATGGGCTCCTTTACACAATGGCTGAGGCAGGATGATCAAGGTGAATCCAGGGTCAAAGTCCCACCTGAAGAGCCATGCTCGTTCCCTCTAATTATCTTCCAGAAAGCACTAACCATGTTTCCAGCCTTGTCCGAAGAATTCTGGCAGGACTTATAATTCGCTGGCCTGGCATAACGCAGGCGCTTTAATTGTCAGAGCACCAGGGTAGGCAGCACAGAAGATCTGTCATCGGTTCTCATTATCTTCTAAACAATGCTCCGGCAGGGCTGGACTTGAAAAAATACTAGATGTGACGGCATCCTGGAAGCAGTTGGTGTGCCCATCCTTTAGCTCACCTCTGAAATGTAAAGCCAGACCAGCGTTACCCGTGGCTGTCAGATTTCCAACTGGGTTTTTCATGTGTCTGCATCCCCAAGCTGCACAGCCTGGGAAATGACTCCGGTTTCAATTTGCTGCACTTAATCAAAAGAGCTATAACCAGCTAAAGGAAAACACAAGAGTAAAGATTTTTGCAAAAAAAAAAAAAGATTTTACTCTGCTGAGCGATATTTCTGTCACAAATACCGTGACCTTGGAACTAAGAGTAATTGCCAAGAGATGCGCTTTAGTGAGTGCATGTAACAGCAGCTACTGTTTAAAAGGTTCTGGGAGATGAGTCAACACTTAATGCTTTTAGCAAAGGAAAAATGTAAAGGCCCTTTAACTACCGCTTGAAATGGTTGGTTTTGTTCATATGCTGGGAATGTTACCTTTTTTTATTTTATTCATATGACCTTTTTGGATTTATTTTCAAAATACTGAGTGTAATCCACTCAAAATTGAAAGTAAAAAAAAGAAAAACATCCCCAACTATTAAGTTTTCTAACATTTTATCATATAAGAACTTCAAATGATTTTACCATATTCTTAAGTATAAATCAACTAAATTTTTTATATAATTGTGTAGTAAAATAAAAATGATACATTTAAAAAGCTGGGTCTGCATTTACATATTGCCCCCCTCCCCCCCTTTGAACGTTATATTACAATGTGTTATCAATCTCCTCGAAAATGAAAAAAAAAAAAAACTCAGGAAGATAGAAAATAAATATTGTAAAATAATTATCCTTTTTGAGCCCTCCCAAAAAAAAAACTATCACAAAAACTCATCACTTTCCTCTGTTTATGAGGAAAAAACACAAAAAACTCTGCAGTTCAGCGTATAAGCCGCACACAGCCTTTATGGCTGCATTTTCCTTTTCTTTAAACATAGTTCCATTTTTTATATATATATATATATATATATATATATATAGACCTGTCAAATTTCTACATCTGTTCTAGTTTGAGAGGCTGCACAGACTTTACAAGTGGGGCTTTGCGCCTGTTCTTTTTTTATTTAATAATTTTGATAACTTTTCATAATCTTTCCAAGTCAAATGTGGGATTTTTTTATATGAGTGGCAAAGACAGAATGGGCACAGATCTGCTCACCCTACCTAATCGGAGCCTCTGTATACGCACAACATTTAAATGTCGTACTCCTCTTGCATGATTGTGTCCCTGCTGATCTATAAGGAACTGATGTCATGATTATCCGAGGCTCATTCTCCCCTGTCCTTTTCCCCACAACAGTATTAATAAAAGCATCAGCTGATATCTGTAACCATTTAGCTTAACCTTGATAGAATCATGCTACAGTTTAAGTCTAAGACCCATTTACTATAAAAAGAAGTATTATTTACATGTTATTAGAGGAGTAGGGGTGTCAAAAAAAATTGATCTTTCAGTTCCTAATATTGATTAAAAATTGCTCTCTTTTTTTTAGCTAAAACAAGAGTGGACTACCTCTGCACTGCCACTCTTGTAGATGGCGCTGTGGAGCCTTTTTACTGTGCAACACATCACCATCTCTGTAGTTGAAGCAGTCACAGTGGAAGAAAGACGTGAACTGACTCAAACCCCAAACAATATTGATTCAGATGAACATATACAGCACTTACTTTTTATTTTGATAGCTGGGTAAAATATCGCAATATATAGTGATATCGCAATATTGTGATAATATTGTATCATGACCCCAAGTGTTGCAACACGTATCGTATCGCAACACTCATGCCAATACTCACCCCTATAAAAGTGGGATCCTCTAGGCAAACAATCTGGGAATAAGCCCAGAGGATAAGCGCCTTGAGGTGGCAGCAGCCTACATTACTTTTGGTTAAAAAAAAGTTAAGTTTCTGCAGAACCTCTTTCACCCTACTTTACCAAATCCAGTCACTGATTGGTTAGGGTGATGCAAATTGACAGAAAGGTTCAGGTTTTTCGTCTCCAACAAAATTCACTTTATGTCCATCGCTGGTTTCATTCCGTCCTCACCCTGCTCTATTTACCCTAACCTAGCCACTTTGCTCCTAAACGTGGGATAACATGTAGTGCTGAAACAATTAATAGGATTAATGGATTTATTTTTTAAACAATCGTCAACTAGCTCATCAAACGATTAATCGTTAACTAGAGTACAGAGACTCTAAAATATGCTTTTAGCTGACAGAGCAACCCACTTAGAGCAATAATTATACCAACATTTTTAAATAATATATCAATATTTTGCATTTAAGCTGAAAAAAATTTCCATCTGCCAATATGCTCTATCCAGAACTCTTTAAAACTCCTTAAATTTTTACTTACACTTAGTTTAATTCTGTTAAATATCTTCTTGACAGAACCTTTTACTATCCGATTATTAATTAGTTAATTGACAAAATAATCGACAGATCAATCATTTAGTAAAATAATTGTTAGTTGCAGCCCTAATAGAATATAAATCATTTGCTCCAGTTGCATTGAAGGCTGATTTATATTTAGAAACCAGGTTGTCTGCGTCGCAGTGAACGCAAATGTGTTCCCGCCCCTTCCGCAGACTAGTGAAGTTGGACCAGCTAGAAGAGCGAGGTGCACGAGAACGCTGGGACCCTTTTTCCACCTGGATCCCCACTCTTTTTCGCCCTCATGTCCCTCCGTTGTTGCACATATTTGCCCCTTTCGTTTTCTTTACCGCCTCGGCTGTATCTAGACCCACAGCTAGTTCGTGATTGTCCCTCTTGTGTTGCAATAACATATCGCAGACCACGCTTCAAAATTGGGCATAAATCAAAAATATCTGCGACAAGCTCACTGCGACACGCTGCTGCGGGAGGATAACCAGCCCTTAACCCCTTGAACTTATCTAAAACTTTTCTGATCATACCAAAGACGCAAAGTGCTTTTAGACTACCAGCCCCAATCACAATGCTAAAACAGTCTTACAAACATATGCAACATCGGGGGGAATTGAGGGGACACCAGCAATGCAATCATGCTCTACTTGTAGATTGTCTATCTCATAAAATACCATTGAAAATTGTCACAGAAGGTCTGAACTATCCCCAAAATGATTCCACCACCAGTTCTCTTAAAGGATGCCAAGATATTGTTTAATAGTCACTGTTATCTCCAGGACACTGTCTTCATTTCTAGTTTGGTTGATTCATCAGCTCAACTTTCTGTTCAGCAATGAGCCTAAAAACAAAACTCATCTACCGGAGCATGTTGCTTAATCAAGCAGAGAAACCTGTGCTGGTTGGAAACCTGGAATATAGCAAACACTTGACTGTGACTTTATGTCTGTGTGTGTTTGTGTGTCTGTGTGTGCCCTCTGAGCAGAGACAAAAGCGTATCAGTTACTTAGACAGTCGGCCATGCAGAAAAGACCGACGAGTTCTGAAGAGGAGGAGGAAAGCAGCCTTTCAGGTGAGCGACCTGAACATGACCATTTAAAATCTTTGTCTTTTGTTTACTTTTTGTGCGTACAAGGGAGCCCAAGGCTAGATTTGGGATTCTGCATCAGTATTACTGTTAGCGTAGATGGTAAAGTAGCCTGTGATGAGATCAATGAACAATCAAATGGTTTTATCTGGGGCTGTTTGCTCTTTTAAGGAATAAATCATGGCCATGAAGAGGACCTGGGGAGGGCCAAACGCTCCTCACATCAAGACCCTTACCCTCGGTAAGAACATTGTTGTTATTCAACGGGCCACAGGAAATGGGCCACCAGACACCAAAGTGGTTGATGTACATTTGCATGGCGGCCCTCATAATTCCCTGTTCATTTCCATAAGATCAAGGGGGCGCCACCCATTAACTCGCTTACAAAGACAAAAGGCCCCTAAAGCCCCTCTTACTCACTGTTAGCAGGGTTCAACCAGGTTTTCAGGATTCAAAAGCAAATCAGGTGCCACAAAAAATTAAATTGGAGCTACAATCCTACTGTTTTCAGGCTTGTCGTCAGAATGCAAACAGATCATGTCAAGAAGAGAATCGACGAAAACTGTGTCAGAAGAAGGGGACTCGAGAGTCGATAAGGACAAATGTCCTCTCATCCGTCACCCTCCAAACATTATTTACCGTCTAATGATAACTAGCTCGCCGTAAGCTCACACCGTCTCTGTTACATTTGAATATCAACACAACTTCATCAAATCTGCAATCGCGTTTTTGGTCCTCAGAGCGCCTCTTCACCGCAGACCCATTTGGGCTTCAGTAATGGCTGGATAAACGTTATGAGGAATAATCTTCTCTGATTTCATATGATTACTGGGCAACACGCTGACACGAAGGCTGAAGTCTGTATCTCCCTGGCAAACAGGCGCTCCAGTCTGCCTATTAGTCCATGGAAGGGCCTAATGGCCTGGCTCTATTGTGGTCCTCCTCACTCCTGCCCCTGCCAGCACCACTGACCAACGTATTTAATAAACATGAGCCAATTTTGGGCAAAAAAAAAAGCCCCTCTCAGGTGGTGTCTGTCTCACAGTCAGGGACGTGCATGTGGAATCCATAAAGTGTGTGATTAAACAAAATTTTCAGGGCAAAATGTAGACATCCAGAATGCAATGATGAAATACAAAGTGTATGTATGAATAAAAAAGGACAAATGGGTAGTTAGGCATGCCTGATACTGTAATCTCCTCTCAGTAAGGAAAGAGGCATCCTAATCTTCTTTTTGTCGTAGCACAGATATCTCTAATTTTTCCACTGTACTCTGATTTAAGCGTCCCCCTTACCACGGCTAATTTTGCAGTTTATTGCTCCCACAAGTGGTCTGGAAGCCCGCCACTTCAACAGAAGCACAACACTGCAGCTTTTCTCCTTCCCCCCGTCTTTCTTGCGCCTTCTTCATCCCTCTTCGCCTTTTCCTCTGTCATCCCATGTTTTCTTCCCCCTCCTCTCCATCCCTCTTGTTAATTATTTGCTTTATTTTGTCAGTGAGCTGATGAGTGACTTCAAAAGGAGGACGGAGCTGGACTCGAAAAATACAAAAATGGCTCTGTCTCTGTTGTCTTAGACAATAATTATGATTTGCCTGTTAAGCCTGGGACTACAGCAGAGGGATTGTAGTTTAAAGCAGAGGCTTTGGTACAAAAATGCATTTATAGCCCTTTGTGAAGCTCCTCATTATGTGTGGGCTCGATTCATTAAGTAATTGGTTTGCAGTTGTTTACATGAGTATTAAGGCCTTCTATTCAGGGCCTTTGAGAGATACATTGTGCAAATGTTGCATGTTATGAATGCAGAATGAGAGGCGGGGGGCCAGTGCTATTGGCCAAACACTGCTCCCAGCTGAAAAGCGAGAGAAAAGCTCTGGGCGCTGCTTTGCATAGTAATGACTCGGCCTTAATAAGCTTTACAGATTAAATACATGCAGTCTATACAAGATGCAAGGAGATACTCTTAACACATTTATATGTGCTCATTTCTCTATTATGGAGTTGGAGAGATTTGGACTCTTTCATATTCTTTTTTTTCTCTCTTCATTGCTCTCTCCCACACAGCGTTTTTCAGTCTGATACTTTTATGGACTTTTCTGTTTATTGTGTTATAACTTGCAGGGAAGCGACTGATCTGCAACAGTTATTACGGATTTTTTCCCCCCACTTTCTAAATCTTTTGCAGTCAAATCACTTTGTGGTTGAGTGGGGCTGAAAAGAATAATGCACGAAGGAGTGAGTCTTAATAAGCAGCTGCACTCCATGTAAAGACCACTTGTTCGCCTTTGTATGCCGGTGCATGCCGCTGCTTCCTCTCGTGCAAAAGAATAATCTTGCCTTTTTCTTCTCCGGGTATTTTTAGATACCACTCCCTTCTTATTTTTCAGTGCAGGTTTTAAACTTACCATTTTAACCCACCTACCCTTTTTCACCCTAAAAATAAAATCCCCAACACACGAGCAGCAACAGACAAAACAAAACGGCAGCTGCAGACGGGATAATAAGTGCCGTGCCTAGAGCCTGCTTGACAAAAACCTTGACTCAACCATTAGTGGTTTACAGCTTTGGTTTGGAAAACAGGATGTGCTCAAGCATTCGACCTCAAATAACTATGTGTCAAAATCAGAAGCACTATCTGTCTCCCTTTAGACCACTCCCCTCTGTCTCATATGAGGTGGGGACTGTCGGTGCAGCACAGGCGACTCACGTAAAAGACAGATGGAGGGATGGGGGAAAACAGGAGCTGGAAGAGGGGAGGGAAAAAGGAAGACGTATAAAAACAGGAACATGAGTGGAGATGAAGTGCCAGTGGTTTTTATGCAATAAAATCCAACAGTGAGTTTAGTTAATCAAAAAAAAAAGGAGAAAAGCTGCAGAACATCAGAGAGATTATGTTCCTGGTTTTGTTTTGTTTTTTGTCTTTTCTCAGAATGTTTTCATGGAGGGCAAACTTTGCTAAACCTTTTTTTTTTATTATTTAAGCAGTGTAGGATTTATTCCCTTTCAGCTCTGGTGATTAAAACAACACCAGTCCTATAGAGGTACCAGTTTTGATACATTAATGCACACAATCTTGTAAAATAGTGTTTTTTTGTTTTGTTTATCAACTTTATTAATCAGAACTGCTGCACCATGTTTTGTTCTTGAAAAGTAAAATCAGCAGGTCAGACCTTAAATAGCAGGCAGCCCCATAGTCGGTCCTCTAGGGCTGCTGTCCTGCAGGTTTTGGAGGTTTCTCTGCTACAGCACAGCTGATTCTGATGATTGCAATTCAGCAAAGGCCTGTTAATCAACTATAAATGTAAATCAGCGGTGCTGGAGCAGGGAAACCTCTAAAACCTGCAGGACAGCGGCCCTCGAGGACCGACTTTGGGGATGCCTGTTAAATAGAATTGGTATCGGTCAAGCCTGATCAGTGCATCTCTTCCAGTCCATTAACCTTTATTCTCTTCAAAGACTTTAAAAATAAGACAGCATTTAGATAATCTGACCAGTGGAGGTCACTGTTCTAAGCCTTCCTTTTGAGATTCACTAAACATCTTAAAAGATTGTTAAATATAATATTTATTTTTGATACTTTTTGTGTTTGAATATAGCAAAATATTTATTTATTTTTTCATATAAGTGTATCTGTTAAACCACATATCATGATAAATGAGACTAAGAATGATAAACAATAAGAATAAAAACTGGGAAAAGAGGGCTTGGTGTAATAGTCTTTTTGTAGAGTGTAGCCCCAGAAACAGCCAATGAATGTTTGCCAGGCGTTGTCAGGGATATAAAGCAAAAGAAGCACCATGAATGCTTTGCCTGTCATTCAGCCTTTACACCGACCTTCTCTACTAGACTGCCACCAGTCAGTGGGAGAGGGAGTTGTGTTCAAATACCTCTCTGTTTGAGCTGCAGTTCTTGCTCGCTGCCAGCAGAGAGCACTCACACGTTGGAGAGCACCCACTCATGCTGCACTCACAGGTGCCTCTTACTGTTTGCCCCTACTGAGGGGCTACATCCTGCTACCATTCAGGTCTGTTAGAGCACATCTAAACGGAGCCTAAACAATGTTTTTGCAGGGTCATAGCTGGGATGGGAGTAGGAGTTGATGGGAATGATGAGGTGATGGGTCTCCCTTTACCTTTAGACAAGCAGCTGCAAGCAAAAGTGCTATTGTGCTATTAGCATTTGTGCGTGGGTGGCAGGAGCTTTAAAAATCTAGGATAAATAAAAGCAGGTTGTAGCTGCCGGCAAGGCAGTACTTAATGCTTTGTAAGCATTAATTCCCCTGATAGTCTTACGATGTTCTAATGAGACTCCAGGAAAGACACAGAACTGCACTTTTCTGACTCTTTGACTTTAATTTTATATCTTAGAAATGTGCTCAATTTGCATTTTGGCTGTCTCTCAAATTTAAATTAAGTTCAGAGTGATTTTAGCTTCTGTAAACATCTGCATCATATTCTTAAATCAGTATTGCTTCCTTTGCAAATGTTTCTTGTATATAAAATAGGTGGTAAGTGTTATTTTTGTTATTCTAGATTAGACCTAGACTCAACTTTATTTATCCCTTGGAATTACTTCTTCAGGGAAATTCTGGTTCCAGTAGCTTATATAGAGTACACAGAGTTAAAGCAAGATGCCATTAAATAAAATGATACAACAGTATTTAAAAAGAGTGTATATAGTACAAAAAAGCATTAAAAAAAACTTGTAAATGTCCTGGAATATGTTTCCCTTACATATAAAAATATCTGCACAGTAGGGAGCTAAGAGAAGACTACGCAGTAGTTAACTTGGGTTTATTGCACTTGAACTGCAGAGATTTAATGACCGTATAAATAGGTAAAAATTATACAGACTACACAGATATTATTACATTTCTAAACGAATATCAATATTTGTAAATTTATGAAATCATTAACTATCATCATTTAACTAACATTTAACTATCATTTAACTATGATGTTATTAGTGAACTTTTACCGTTTTTACTCTTTAATGACTATAATGTAAATCTTTCTTGTCTGGTATAAGACAACCTTTGGTAAGTATAAGCTTACTCTTATACTGACTTAATAAATGACACAATTGAATCTTCTGCTGCTAAAACAGATTTTTTGTTAATGTTGATACAAATGCTTATGGAAAAACTGCTGCTGATAGAAGCCATAGTTATCTTCAGTACTTATTACACTGTATCTTAAGGCTTTTTTTTGCCATTTTTCTCTTTAAAGAGTAACACGGTCACAACAAGTGGGGTAATTATTCGGGTTCTCTGCTGTGGTAGTCAGCCTACAATTAGGACAATAGTGTGCAACAATGTGTGAGTGTGTTGCATTACTATTTGCTTAATAAAGGCTAGAAAAACTCTGGTCACTCTGACACATTACCTTTCTTTAAAAGGACTTAAATGTTTTGGAATGGTTTGACTGATGATTTATAAGAAGTGTTGCACAGATGCCATTTTTTGCGCCGATACTGATACCCTATACCTGTCTGTACAGTATTAGCTGATACTGATGCCATACCGATACCACTTTTTTAAAATTGATATGTGTGTGTACAGTATATATGAAAACAGGATACTTCTTGGATGTAAAATAATTGCCATCATGGCTGTCAAGCTGCTGCCTACCTTTGTAAAGCAGGAAAAAAAATACAAAGTGAATCCAGTAGAACTTTTTATTGCCTATCTGGAATGGGTGATAATAGTTGAATAAACTTTTGGCTCTCAAAGTGGTATCTGTGCCCTATTTGTTGGTAATCGCTGATACTGATACCACCATTTTAGTGTTAGATCGGGGCCCCGCCTGATACTGGTATCGTATGGGTGCAACACTATTTACAAGCAGCTTTTAAAAACATTGGTATACTTTACACTGGTTGCTGGTGTTCAACATCAACATTGTGAGGTCAAAATGAAAGCTCAGAATATTTCACTCAAGGTAATGAAGAACATATGTGTTGAATCTGTTCTGCTTTAAAGGTTATTGGGATCTCAGATGGAAAAAGTAAAATCAGCAAAGCAAAAATATGAAACAACTGCAAAGCCCAATTTAAGGGAATAGATGCAACAGTACTGGGTAACGTACATAGCAACAACTATGTTTTGCATCCTTTCATAATATTCGCCTTCGTCTCCCTGGGCTGTGAAAGACATATTCAGATCATTGCCTCATTTAAGGGAAATTGAAAATGAACTACTATGAATACCTACTGAATTTTCAGATCTGTAAGGTCACATCCCTGCAGGGTTCATTTTGGTAATGGCTCTGTCTTGAAATCAGTGCTGAAGGGGAACTGTTGATAGACCATTTTCATTCTGTGGGGGGAAGTTGGAGCAAAGAAATGCTCAATTTGCACTGTGCAACAGCTATTACTGTGACAGTGGACGTAATTTCCCAGATTATTGCTTTGTTTTTGCTGCAGCGTGTTCTGCTACAGAGCCTCTGTCACCATTTTTAGATATATTATGCTTTACCCTGAATACTGAAGACTTTGTTAACAATACTAAATTTTAGATCTTAAAATTATTAATTTTTCTCCTATCCAACATGCCATTAGGATGGTAGAATAATTGCTGGATAATAATGGACCATCGCCCCTCTCCCACCTGTTGCTACACTTATTCCTACCATTGGCTATTTTGAAATATTTCAAGTTTTAAAAAATGTATCTAATAGTTATGATGTATAAATTAAATTGATGTTATCTACCAAATATAATAGTATAGCAGACAACCTTCTTGCATCTTTGAGTCTCCATTTTACGTTGTTGTGTATGCACACTTTTAATGTTTATGCATCCAGTGAGCTTTGGTTGCAGCCATTCATTGTTGCTCCCCTGCTTCTCACCGTATGCATTGAAAATGGCTTAGAGTCACAAAAAGTAAGCTGTCTTACAACTTTATAAGAAAAAGAGGAAGAATTGAAACAAAACAAATAAGACAAGTTTATTTGCAAGATTTTTTCACACAGAAGCAGGACAGCTCGTTTACAGTTATGTAAAAAGTGACGGGTATTTCTTACGTTCATTTCTGGAAAAATCATTCCCTATACTTTTACTACCAAATGTTGATATGATCATTGTTCCAGATAAAGATTTTTAAGCTACAAGTAACATATCTGAGGCTCCGTTAATTTCAAATTGGCCAACCAAACACATAGGCTGGCTGATTAGCCTTTAATATCAGGTAATTACACTTTTGTTCCTCCACTAATAGCCCTACAGCATATATTTACAATACTCAAATTTTACGAAAGTTAGTAGTTTTTTGTTATATTTCTGTGCTTAACTCTATGCTTTAAATAAACAATAACTAAATGTTAATGACAATTGCCTTAAATGTTGATGAGTATATTATTTCAGAAACGGCAGTATTTTCTGCCTTTAGGTTTTTTTTTATTAAATCAAATAGGCGTTATCATACACTTGAGTTTTCGATTTTTGTGTAAATATCATTTTGTATTTAGGTTATTTTGCAAGAATACCATACCTAACCTTTCCTTATAGTCGCCAAGAATGAACAAATTTGTTCAGTCAGCAAAAAAAATAAAGAGAGAATATAAATTTGACACTGTAGCATACACACTTTAGTCACATTAGCGAAGAAGCTGTTTGATTTTTTTAGGAGGATAAGTTATTGTACTTGAGCACCTCGGCCTTTACCATTTATACGTCGGTTTGTTCTTCTGTATCGCTTCAGATTCTACTAGCAAATTAACACAACTGCTGCAGCAATGAACCATTAATATTGTAAATCAATCTCTTGCTAATCTATCCAAGTTTCACCTAGCTTAAAATATTATAAGTTTGAATAAGAACCTGTCCTGATGCAGCTGACATTGCAGATCTCACACACTTGTTCCCAATAAATATACATTATACAGAACTGCCCCTCATTAAAGAGCAGGCTAAACTCTATGTGTGACAAAATCCTTTCTTTTTTAGCCCATACAGTATTATTTTGCAATATACCATTATAAAATAGTAAGAAGGGCAGAAGGTTAAGATTTCAGTTTTCAGAACTTTCACACTAATGCTAATGGTGATTATCTATTCCTTTACTTTCTGTTTTTAAATAGAGGTTCAGTATTTTTTTTTTTTTGAACAGATGTATCAATAATCAACCTCTTAGGAATCATTTCTCTTATATAAATTGACAGGTTATATTGTAATGATTATTAAGGTTCTTTGTATAATGTTCCTTACAGAAAAAAAAATCCTGCTTTCAGTTTGAAAAAGCGGGGGGGATGTAATCTTTTTCTCTCCTTCCCTCTCGAGTGTTGTAAAGCTGCAACTTATATTTTTAAACAGGAGCAACTGGAACAGAGCCAAAGTAATTTGCTCCCCACGCTCATACAGTGACATGTGCCAAGATTTAGCTGAGGAGATGAGGGCGATTGAGAGGATGACAATCAAAGAGGTCATGGGTTTCTAGTGAGGCAGATGGAAGACATCGGAACACAGCTGTTTTTTGTGGTGTAAAACACTGCATTATTTCTCCTTCCAAGAAAAGCTTCGACATGTCTAAAACAGATGATGGAAAAGCTACATGGATATGTATGCTAACCTGGGAGATGATGGGATATACTGTGGGGTTTTGAATAGGCTCTGTCATGATGTAAATTAAAGAGGACGCCTTTAAAAGTGGAGGGGGGGTGGCCTTATTGCATATGCATCGGAGTAGATCAAAGCCTTTTCGGAGGTCACACATTTACATAGTGATATCACAGGAGCTATGGGAACCTGGCAACCCGGTCTATGGGCTATTTTTGAATAAAGAGGGCCTTGTGGAAGTCCTTTGCCTTTAACAAACTAACTCCTGCTTCACTCTTTGAGTGCTGCTAAACCTAATTCACTCCTATGTCACTGGATTGTGTCATTTTTATGTTACTAACTTATTTATGTCTCTTTATTTGTTAAGATTTGCTTTTTTAATAGATTGTAAAATTGTGGCAGAGGTCAGTTTACTTTAAAGAGAACTGTATTTAAAATAGGCCATTGTGGGTTTATTTTAATTGTAAGAAAGAGCTTTAAAATGGTTAATAATTTTCCAGGTCTAATAACAAACTCTATTTACAGGAAAGGAAACTCGAAGATTTATTCTGCTCTGCAAACAAAAGGTGAGTCTAAAGTAAAATATGTTAATTACACCAACCAGGGTGGCATAAAGAAATCTGCCTGTGAACATTGTGGATGTTATTTCAAAATTAGGGCTTCATGGAAACTTTCAACCGTTTGATTAAAATGTTCTGTGCTTGCAGCTGTGTCTTTTGAGGTTGAGTACAAAATAAAAAGACCTTGAAGCCAAGTCTAGGTTTCTGAAAGCTTCTTTTGAAGCCATGTACTCAACTGATAAACAACTAAAAACAACCTGTTAGATGGAAGATTCTGACTCCTTTCATTTTGGTCTTACTTCAGAAAACACGTATTACCTGTTAACACCCAGGTAAAAAAAATAAAGGTCTTTGTGTCATAACATCACCAGAAGAAGCTTCCTCGTTCTTTTAATACCTTTGTGTAAAAGTTAAACAGTTTTTATTTATTTTTTTTCAGTGATGTTACACGGAACCGCTTAGTACTCTTCTTCAAATTTGGTACTTGTGAAAGAGACCTTGCTCTAATAATGTGTTTTTTGTGTGCTTGTAAAGCTTTTTGGCAGGAATCTGATGACAGCAACTCCGAGATTGAAGCAGCCCTTCGTCCTCCAACTGGCGAAGCAAACAGCAGTGCCACTGATGACTTTTATGACTGATGTTTCTGCAATATTATATCGTTTTTAAACGTGAGACGGATGGGCTCTTAGTAATTCACCCCACTGACCATACTTTCATTGGTCTGCATTCTAAATCATATGCTTAGCATATTGTAAAAACAAATAAAGTTGACAGCTCTTACGCTGGATAAGGTATGTGAAGAGTTGTCCAACGCTCTGATGTTAACCCTGCTTCATTCTCTTTATCTGAACAACTCTCCCAGCTCATAATAACGGCTCGAAATAGATTAAACTGATCTTTTAAAGCGATTTGTTTGCACTGGGCTGAAAATCATGCATTTCGAATGCTGCAAGCATCTCCGAGTGCTCTACTTGCAACCAGCTGGAGTGTAGGGATGTGAGTCACCTGTGAAACGACAAAGCACAATGGCCACTCTGCTCGCTCCGGTGTGACCCGTGAACTCACTCAAGAGGCTTATCTCTCGGGGCACAAAGTGTTGCAGTGCTAACATACTCAGGACATTTAGAGACCCAAACAAATGCTCTGGACATTTTCTTAGGGATGCAACAGATTTGTGAGCTAAAATACAAAGATATGGTTGAAATCTCTCTATTTTAATGTGCTAATGACTTACAAGTAGCTGAAATGATGCTGATATTTCGAATTGTTCATGCACATTGGACATCCTGGGTCTATTATTAGCTGTGTGGGAGGTTACATTTCAAGGTTTACATTTATAGTTCATTATTTCCGCAGTGTAAATTTTCCAAGCTGAGATTTGGTAAAAGCCCCCTGGCACACAGTGTCAGCAGGATTCCATTAGTCAGCTTTTGGTGACTTTATACGCCTGAACCTTTCAAAGTAGGACTCCACATTCATTACCAATAATGGCTTCAGTCAGCCCTGACCCAGCACAGAAAAGGGACTGTGGCAGAGTGATTTACAGTTTGCTAAAAGGTTCCCCAACATAATATCCAGTTAAGGAGCATGTCAACAGATACTTGTGTGCGACTGATGGCTCATGGTGAAAGTGGAGTTATATTGTGCTAATGTGTGCTAACGGGAGTATTTTTCATGAAGATCTTCTCAGACTCTTTGCCACTGAGACAATTAGGAATATATTCATATCATTTCTTTCACTATTATTGAAGCATGTGCACCATTTTATCTTTGACGCTGCTCTTCTCTTATAATCTGATTTCATCAAAACAGTTAATACATTTCTTGACATCTTAAGATACAGTGCTCATTTAAACTGTTGGGGATCAAACAATAAAACATAAAATGGCATTGCTTTAAAACTAAGAAACCTGTGCACAAATTTGAATTTATTGTGAATTCAAACTCATTTAGACTGGTTTAGTTGCTAAATTTCATATATGGTAATCACAGAGCATGTGGGGCAATTTTGGTGGTATGTTTGCTTGTCTTTAACATCTGAAAGGGTAGAGCCAATTTTAAAAGGTTTCTGTCCTGGCAGGAAACTTGCATTTGACCATGGTTTATACATTTTTTACTTCAGTTGAGTTTGAGGCCATAACAGAATTTTAATGTAAAATTGTCTAAAGAAATCAAAACCAGTTTAGATGTGTATTTGAGATTATTGTCTTGTTGGAATACTTATATCCCTTTCCTACTGGCAGAAAAACCTGTTTAAACGCAGGAACAATCAGCTTTTAGTGGCAGTGGGAACGGCTAACTGACGAGTGTCTACACAGGTCAAACGACTTGGCAAGCGATCCACGTTAAAATCACCTCCTTTCTGGTTGGCATGCTGTGGGTACACCAGAGTCTGGTTGACCCTCTAAATTACGTGACACCATTTAAAGCAATGTACAGACGTCAACACACTGTGCCAGCCACGTCTTATCTAACAAGCCGAATAAACTCTGTTTACATTTGATAAACATGGAAACATTTGAAGTGGAGAAACCAGGTTGACATAAAGTTGGTGTAATGGCTCAAAACAACTGAAAATCAATGGACAAACATTTTCCCCAACTTAGGGTTGCCCCCTTATGAAAAAGTTTACCAACAATGTCGACTACTTTACTTAATCGGTCTCCGCCAAGTGATGTCAATTGTTTACCTCGGGCGCGGTACACTACGCCTTTTCCACCTAAAATGGCGTCTTAGCAACAAATGTCACGTGACTGGCAGAGACCGATTTTCCTAAATCCGCCCCTGTTTTCAGGCTTATGTTAACTGTAATGACTTATCTTGGACAGGCTGCTATGTAAACAGGCCTTTAGTCCTTCGTTTAGCTATGCTGCGGTTGTTTACACTACGCCTTTTCCACCTAAAATGGCGTCTTAGCAACAAAAGTCACGTGACTGGCGGAGACCGATTAATATGCGGCTGTGATGCAAAAATGCTCAAAAGAATACAAGATGGCCTCAGAAAGATAAAAAAAAAAATTGGCCATGCTTATTGGCCCAGTTTTACTAGTTGAATCAAAATGTATGTGTTAAGAAATTACTAAAAGTAGTTGATATATATTTTATATATATTTTGTCTGATCTTACTCCAACTTGAGAAGGAATCATTTTAGGTGTGAGGTGTAAAGAGTTTATATTTAAGTCTATATCTGAAATTTTAACTTTGTGGATTAAAGAAAATATGCATCAAGGTCAAAATAGGGCATCCAAAACCTTGGAACTATATACTGCTTTAATCGTGTGGAATCTTCCTCTTAGGAAAGACTATGATTAAGAAGCACTCTTCAAAGCCAGTGTGATACAACACTTGTGTGTATGATGAGAGTATGTTACCTGATCTGCAAGGTAAATCAATTTCTTTTTTTTTTTTTTAAAGAGAAGGGTTTCCGTAATAATTTAAAGTTTTTTATGAAAAAGAAAACATTGAAAATATTCCTTTACACAACCGTTACATACAATATGTTTATTAAAGATTATGAAATCCAGCTCTAAAACACTTTGTCTCTCATTAAGGTTCCAAAATGTCTCTGATGTGTCAATAGATTGTCTCTAGGCTCACTGATATTCTGTCTAATCTTTCTTCTTCAAACATCTTCACCTTTTTTCATCTACAAGATGACTTGTAGTAGATTGTATGTATGTATGTATGTATGTATGTATGTATATATATATATATATATATATATATAATATATATATATATATAAAGAGAGAGACAGATACTTTCTCAGGCTTTTGCCACATGACATATGACTAATATAGAATGCATTTAAATTGTGAATCTGAGCGTGATTGATTGTGTATAAAATCTGTGCATAGTATTTTTGGACAATGCTGGATGAGATCCCTATGAGCAATAAAACAGGGTGATGTTTACAATGTTCAGAAAATTGTGTAAATCAGAGTTGCTGTTAAATGTAGGACTGGAACTGTCTGATTGTGTCGTTACATTTGCTGCTGTGATGATATCTTAACAAAACCACATTGACATTTTTGATATCCTTTAACTGAAATGTAGTGCTTCTAAATATATTTTATTTTGTCATATATGTAGAGATTGGAAACCTTTCATAAAATATTACCCCTTAAATAGAGGGGTAATATGATTCTTATTGACTATAGTTGAAGAAGCCCTAAAATTCAGTTAAATTAAAACATACTTAACTGATCACAAAGGAAAATTAAATGTCAAATCCCAAGATTATTTTTGTTTACCATTTTTTTTTCTTTTGCTTGCTTGTTTGTTTTCTACTAAGTCAGATGTTTTTTTTTTCTAGTTGTAAATGATTATTTCACTTGGATATATCAGCTTCAGAATAAGTGGTACAGAAAAGAATCCTTTAACTGGAGGTGTCTTGTCTAAACTGAATGCTGGTTAAAGTTTCATGACCAACTTTTTAAGGTGTTCTGAATACATTTTTTTCTCATGGTATGAGATTTTAAGAAATCAGCACAAAGGTGGGCATAAATGTAAAGTTGAAGGAAAATGTTTTACAGATAAAAACATTAAAAGTATGTCCAGCATATTTTTGTTCCACTTTTTCTATACCTACAGCTTCAACATCTCTTTACCACTTTAACCATCTAGACAAAGAAATATTTGCCCCATTTCTTCTATTTACAGAGACCTAGCTGTTGACTGAATAGAGTGCATCAATTATGAACTTTAATTCTGTTTGGAGTTCAACTGGACTATTCTAACAGCATATTTTTTAATGTACAGTATTCCATCGCAGCCCAGGCTACACCAAATCTTCTGCAGGATTTGGTTTATATTAGAAGTACTGTGGTTAAGCTTTATCAACCTTTAAATTAGCTGACCAAATTCCCTATCTCTGCTGAAAAAAAGCCTTTCAACAGCATATTTCTTAACTTTTTGCACGAAAAATGGATAAATAATAATCTGTATTTCAGACAATCCAGTAAAATTACAAATTTATCACATGCAAACATATGTTATTAATTATATATATAATAAATTATCTGTGTAATTCAGTGCTTGAAGCAGTGAAGCTTATTTAATCATACCCCTTCCATTCCTAACACCAACAATCCTTCTGATTCCTACTTAAACTATGAGTCCATACAGTTCCAAGTCCAATGCCCTGTGACCAGAGGTGGGTAGTGTAGTCAAAAATTGTACAAGAGTAGCACTATTTCATCATATTTTTACTAAAGTAAGACTAAAAACTAGCCATCCAATAGAGTACTTAAGTAAGAGAAAAAATGTATTTGGTCCACTCAAGTACTGAGTATATCATCTTAACTTCTGATATTTAAAATTATGCAACAATGACAGACAAAAATGTAAATGTATGTGCAAATACAGGTATATTAAAGACTATAATAAAATAATTAAAACAAATTATGTAAAAGGAAAATAATAAAACCAGGCAGAAGGTACGCTTTTACAAACCAATTTTATTTTTAACATATAAGTTATGAAATCAGTATCTCCAGTGACAATATTTATTCCTTACTGTGTATAAGCATGACAACCAAATGCCAAGGCTGATTCAGGTAAGCTTGTGTACAAAAAAACTCAGATAAAATGTATTTTGTGTCTTCTTCTAGGGAACCTTTTCTTTTTTTTCCTTCTTTTTTTTAACCCTGCTATTCAATAAAGTTACAATGAATGAGGTACATAACCAAACATTTTAATCAAGTAAAAGAGGCAAGATTTTATTAAGGTAAAAGTAAAAGCCAAACATATGTTGCAGTAAAACTACTCCTAAACGTATATTTTGTCAGTTAATAGAGTTCTTTAAAATGTTGTCATGTCTGCTTGCCACTAGCTTCATCACAGAAGCTAAAATTTGTCAATTAAAGATTAATGATTTCTTAATAAGTAAATTTTAAAAATGTGGACTTTCATGTCTCGTTCTGTGGACACACACCCAAAAGGCTGTGCATTATGACAGCAGATGGAAGTTAACCCTGCATATATATGGAATAAATTCCTAGAAACTTCCATTGGAAATATAAGAATCTATTTACAATATTAAGAAATAAAATAAAAAATAAACACTATGTCACACATATTTCAGTTAAAAACTCCTAAATAACCTTTTGAATTTAACTAAAACTATGTAGCTACTATGTAGACCTAGAGGGAGAAGGCAAATTGAAATGGTTGAAAACCATTACCATCAAGCTTAGCCAAAAATATCACAGTTCATTATTGACTTTATGTTTCAGAACCAAAGTCTATCCTGAAGAATTTGGATTGAGGTCAAATTAAGTTTCAAACTATTAGTTTAGGGCAATTGGAATGTGATTAAACCAATTCACAATGCAAATCTAAGAGGTTGTTATGCATCATTTGGTAAATTATATTTATAGATTATTTGCTTTACAAAGGGCTAGGATTAGTAGATATAAGGAAACTCATTTTGAAGCGACTCTTTGGTACTATTTAACATTTAAAAAGTAATAGCCTGCAGGGAAAGACCCACAGGTGTTCTCACCCAATGTGGAACCACGGAAAAAAAAGAATGCTTCTCCTTTTGCAGTGTCCCGCAAAGCAAAGCAAATCTGCATCCTGTTTAAGGGATGTTCAATTCAGTTCATTTATATAGCACCAGTTCACATGTCATTTCAAGGCACATTACAAACACAGTACAGCCAGATTGGTTAAAAGTTTCTCTTAAGAAAAATCAGTTGATTGCTTCAAGTCATACATTTAAGTCTTAAATGCTCCTCTAGGATGAGCTTGCAGTAACAATTGCGTTTGTTGAATCCTCAGCATTCTCTCATACCAAGTATGCATACAGCGACAGTGGAGAGCAAAAACTCCCTATTAACAGGAAGAAACCTCCAGTAGAACCAGGCTTTAGAATTAATACAACGGCTATGGCACTACAATGCCATAAATTCCTATTTTTAGGTAAAAGGTTGAACAATGCTTTAAAAACATTTATTTTATGCAGAGGTTTATGTTGTATAAACATGAATCCCCTTTTTAAGCACATACATTTTTTTTGTTCTAATTTGACAAAATATTAAAAAAAAAGCTCATGAAGTATAATCACTTTCACAAATTAAATTCTGAGCCTTGCTATTTAACTATCTGGCATCATTTATTTTTTTGTTAAACCAAATACTTAAAATATTGATTTATGATATAATATTTTTTTTTATAAGAGACGCTGAATAAAACACTTAAAAAACATATTTCACTATAATTTAACTATGTTTTCTGTTGCTTTTACATATAAGGTATTCACAAATTCACTGGATGCTAAAGATTAAAGCTCATTGATAAAACATTTCTTATTTTCATGTCACTTTATAGTTCCAGTCAAAGTATTTGAGCATAACAGTATCATCTATCAACTGTCTGTTGAGTAAATATATAATGCTTTCAGTAAATGGAAGGACTCACTATTGATATAGAGAGAAGCTCTTGTGCATGTAACAGTAGTCAAGGTGATGTTGCTTCATCAGATGTACATGTCTACATAAGCAGCTTTCTGCCTGTTTGAAAATGTAGTTATATTTTAGATCTGATTTAAAAAGAAGAGCCAAACATCTAAAGCTTGCTGCCCAAGAGCAGATAGTAAATAGGAAATAATGGCTTTCTGATTTCAGTTTATTCAACCTCATTTTTCCTACAAGTGTATAGTACAAAAAAGAAGAAATACCGAGATATATTGAGATGCCCAGACGCCTGATTGCACTTGAGTTCATTATTCAACATACAACATACCTTGTGGCTGCATTATGGTGCGCCACAGTCA